TTATTTTTAAAAAAGCCAAAACCAATTTAAAAGCAGCTCTTTAATTAATAATAATAATAATAAAATAAAAAAAAAAAAAAAAAGAAGAAAAATGCAAACACTAACTATCCCCCTGTCCCTTAAAGCAGCCCTAACAGGTGATGGCCTGACCATATTTTCATTTTTTAATCTCCATCAGATTGGATGAAGAAAACAATCCTTTATTTTTAAGCCTACTCTTATGAAAGAGTTCTACAGAGTTTTAGAGAAAATTATAACCTTTCTATAGGCTTTTTGAACCATCTTATAGAATGTACCAGAATTATATCCGGGCTATAGAATCTGATACAGTGGTTCAAAAAAACCTATACATTCTATTAAATTCCATAGGATCATAGAGAAAATTCCGTTGAAACCCATCAGCTTCATCCCTATTAATTTCTATAGGGCTTTTCCATAAGAGAATCGCTCCTGAAGATTCTTATGGGATGTCCATAACAAACAAAACAAAATCAAAATCAAGACACACTAAGATATTCCTCTCTCTGGGCTTCCCAATGTCTCATTTCCTGTTTCTGTCTATTGGATTGCAGGCTCCTCAGGGAACACACCACCCACCCACCTTCACTCGAGTCCTGTATAGCACTGAGCAGGCCATCAGCTCTGACAAGCAATTAAATAATAGTTCCCTTCTCAGAAGGCCATGCCCCTCAACCCTTTCCAGACTGCACAGTGAGTTTTCATAGTTTCAAATGTAAGTGTGTGTTTATGTGTGCTCCATTTGGAAAATAAAGTTTTGTAAGCAAAAAAGACTTTCAAAATGTGTTTCTTTTAGCAAGCACAGTGAAACCACCAGCAGGGCTTCTTTCCAATGACCTCCCAACCACAACCTCTTCCCTCCTCCTATTTTGGGAGAGAAAAATACCTCTGCTCATATGGATATCAGCAAGGAGCCAAATTTGGTTTTAGTGTGATCAGGTGGTACATCTGTTCATTCAGAGCTGAACTCACTTACGCCAGAGCTGAATTTGACCCATACCATCAAAAATACTGAATTACCTTGAATTCATCGGCAACATGGCCTGAGGACATCTGTTTGTTGCTTCTAATGTGCAATAGGAGCTCCTTCACTGAATTTTTTACACGAACCCCTTGGAAAGGTCCTCTGTGCTGCTTTCCTCCCCCCATGTGGTGTTCAGCTGTTGAGAAACAAAACAAAAACAAAATTAATGCATCGGCACAATCCTGACCCAAGGAGGCAAATCAAGAAACAACTGTGGAAAATAACTTGAAACTCTGCTTTCAACTGAAAATGCAGACAGTCCTTTGACATAAAGATATATTGCACAGAACCTTGCCAGCCAGTGTTTCAGAAGAATATAAGCTGTCTGAATTTTATTTCTCCGGAGTCTTCCAAACCCCAACTCTTATTGGTAAACAAGCTGGAAATAACATAACACATCAGCATCATAGTGGCTAGAAGCCCCAGCCACAGAGCAGGACCCCACTCATAGGCACTGTACAAACACAAGAACAAAAAAAACAAAAAAAACTGTCCCCTGCCACAATCTATTACATATAAAAAAAATACTAGATGTCAAAATGCTACAGGAGTCTGTATAATAATTTTCAGAATTACTTGTGTTTGTTATCTCCATAGTGACCGAAACTGAAGCTTTAAGAAAGAAAACTTGCTTTGTTAGAAGTACAATAGAACTGTGACACTCCCGGCCTGACCTCTTCTGTCTCACATCCTCTTTAAAATTAAATCAGTTTTGAAGCTACAAAAACAGAAGTAGAAGACAGGAAATGATGACCTAAGGCATTCGACTTGCAAAAGGAAGTTATGTGACCTGATAAGGAAAGTACAGAATCTAGTCTATAAAAATCTATATACTGAAGTCTTAACTGGAGATCCAAATTTCCCTGGCCAGCAGGAGCTGGGATTTCTGTCTGGGAAAGAGGAAATAAAGGGCTTGAGTCAAAGACCACTGATGTCAAGTAGGAGTCTCTCTATGGTCTTCAAAGCACCTCATCCCAGCGAACAGTCCAAGAGCCCCAGCTTTCCTTAACCAGAAGCAGGGCCTTTGAGTGGAGGTATGAAGAGGAAAACAGGCTGACAAGGTCACTCCTACCCACAAAGAAGATGTTTTGGTTTTTAAAAAGACAATATCAACAAGATTATTAAGATTGTGCTTATATGATACCCTTACTCCACATACAGAATTCCACTGAAGTCAATGGGATTACTTGTGGGGTAAGGTGCTACTTACCAGGAGTAAAGGGCATTAGAGTCTGGCTCTACGGGCCTCATCCTACTATGAAGTGCCAAGTGCCCTCCCCACCTACTGAGCAAAGGCTGCTGAGCTCACAGGATTTTGTCCTATAAAAGATGCACTAGACTAGAGGATGAATCATCCAGTGCAAAATATACAATAGTTTCTTCCCCCATTTGAAGGGTGTTTTCAAAATGACAGTTCTTCTAAAGAACTTTCTTCCTAGCCTACTTTCAATTCTCGAACAGTTATGAATTCGCAGCCGTTCGTTTTCAAAGTATCCCTTGTTGTAACCAACTTGCTTTATACAGTGGTTGTACACACCCCTCCCCTCCTCACTTCAATATAAAATTTAAAAATTATTAAGGGGCGGCAAAGGAAAAAGGCAACAACAGCACAAAGCCACACTTGCAACTATTTACACTTGATCTTCTACCCATCACAGCTTCTTACATCTTTGGGATCTAGGTGCTATAGAAACACAAGGGATTTTAAGTGACCATGAGCCTCTTTCCTCAGAAGAGGAAATAAGCCGCAGGAGACGCCTGGGAGATACGCAAGCGTCAGTTGCACGGCTGACTTTGAAGCAGCACTTTTCCCCTCGGAAGATCAACACAGCCCTGCGGCCAATCCAGCGCCCTTGCAATGCAGCCACCTCTGGGGCGGAGGAGGGCACGGCGCTGGGGGCACCGCAGCCGCGCAGCTGGCTCGGCTGGCTGACTGCGGCCGTGCCCCTGCAGTGCCCGGGTGAAGGCTGAGGCTCGGCTTTGCCTTCGAGGGGCCCGTGTTACGGGCTGGCTCTACATACCCAGGCTCGCAGCGGCTAATAAATAACCCCCCGGGGAGGGCAGCGCCAGCGCCTCTCTCCCGGGCAGGGCTGCGGGGGCCGGCGCGTACCTTGCAGGGCTTGGCGGACGCCGTCCAGCGAGTCCCTCCTCCGGCCGCCACTACTGCCGCTGCTGACGGACAGCTCGGAGTCGGAGCCGGGCGACCCCGGGGCGGAGTGAGCCGGAGAGCAGCTGCCATCGCTGGAGTAGGGGGAGGCGCTATAGAAATAGGCCAGGTTGAGGGGGCTGCTCATGGAGCCGGAGTCGCCGTCGGCCGGCGCCTCCCGGTTGCTGTCCACGATCATAGTCCTCGGGGAAACTGGCGGGAAGCAGCAGCAGCCACCGCGGGCTGAGCAAGGGCGCCGAGGAGTGGGAGGCGGAGGGGGAGGCAGTGGCTCTAATAGCAGCCCCGCCCCGGCGGGGAAGCAGCGGGCGCGCAGGCCATTGGCCGCGGCCGGGCGTGATGCGCTGCCGAGGGCGGGAGTTCCAGTAAATGCCCAGGATTGGGCAATACCCCGCTGGCTCCGGGGCCTCGCTTGGTTAGCGCGGCCTGCCTGGTTTCAGCGCTTTGGTGGGTGACTCATTAGCCAGAAGCAGCACAGCCCACCGCTCCTACAGCAAGGGACATTTCGTGCTGGGTGGCGACGCTCCGGGCTGCTGAGTGTCAGAGAGTGACAACAGCCACATCCCTCTCCTGTGCACCGCTAATCATAACCGCATCAACCCACTGAGTCATGGGCTTGGGGGAACTTCGACTTTTGACCATCTGACATGACACTGGATACCACACAAGGATACATAAACAAACTGGGGAAGGAGGAAGAGGAATTACTTTTCATTACCCACATTTTCTTTTTGCTATCAGGTGAAAGAGGAGGGGTGTTTGGAATGAACCATGTATTTAATCTGTACACTCAAATCTGACCAACTGTTGAAGAATTTGCAGTGTAAACTACGAAACAAAAGCAGCTACCATACAAACTTTTCACACCAATGTCAGAAACACAGTAGTCAAATAAAGCTTAAAATTCACATATTTCCATGAGCAGTCTTATCATGTGTGCACATTCTTGTTGACTGCAGTAGGATTTAGGTTTGCAAAATCAGGTCATAGATTTTATAGATGCAGCAAAATGATTTTTCTCCTTTCCCGAACCATGTACAATTCAACAGCACACTCAATAATGCTGCACTGATAGCAAGTAGCTATTGTCACTATTTCTTAGGTCTTGTCAACACTTCATCTTTAGGTCAACATAGCTATTGTGCTTAGAGATGTGAAAAATCCACAGACTTGAAGGCTGTAGCTATGTCAACCTAACTCTCAGTGTAGACACAGCTTGTTCAATAGAAGAATGCTTTGCTTGACCTAGTTACCATAGCTCAGGGAGGTAGTGTTCCTACAGCAATGGAAAAGCCCTGTTTCCATAGGCTACATCTACAGCGCCGTAGCTATGCCCCTATAGTCCCATAGCATAGACATGACTTTACTACAAAAGCGTGTGAGATCCTTTCACCCCAAAATACTCTTTGCACACTTGGTAACTGATGAATGACTCCCTAAAGTAATTTTCTGAAAACTGCTCAGACTTTACATATCTATAGCTGCCCTACACCAAAAGGTCAATATTGTACATAGTACTTGAGTGTTACCTAGTTCTTTAGTGGTTAGGTGTGGGTGGGTGTTTTGTTTTAACTATTGTTGCAAATGTGTTTCCCTTCTCTTAACAAACACACAGTAGTTTACATGTGAAGAGTATATAATCCAAATAATTAGATCATGTTGCAATTATCAATAACATTCTCATTAAAATGAGAAGATTAATTAAAAAAACCTTTCACACAAAATCAAATTCATTATGTTATTTGTATTGTGGACGCTCCCAATGGTTCCAGTCAAGATCATGGCCCCATTGTGCTAAGCACTATAAAAACACATAAGAAGAGAAGAGAATATTCCCTGAATATTACCTTGGGGAAGGGGTTCTCAACCCACGGGCCGCTTGTGGCCCAATCAGCTCACTGCTACAGCCCACGTGACATCCTCAGGGCCCTAGAGGTTGTATATATATGGTGTGGATTTGGCCCACATAACACATACAGAGCTGCAGATGCAACCCACAATAGTAAATAAGTAAAGATACCTTAGAGTGATGACCTTTGGGTGAACTTAAGTGGAGCTCTATGTCCCATGAAGAATGTCACATAAAATCTAGCTTCAGTTTAATATGGTTTTTGTTTTGATTTAACTAGGGTTTACTGATTTTTCTATTCTATTTCTAAGCTTTTCTTCTCCGCTCTATTCCCTAAAGGTATTTGAGGTCTAAATCCCTGTTGCTGTCCTAGCATCCAAAATCCACTCAAGGCGCCACACTATGTTTATTAGTAGCTATTTCTACAGGGACATCTTATTTATTAGGCCCTCTGATAAAAGCCTATATTCAGCTAAGGTAGATTAAGGTCTTTCTAACTCCACTGAGCTCTGTAAACAAAAACCCTTTCTGTAACACATACCCCCATTTATTGCACAGGATCCGCTCGCTGGCTCACAGCAACCTTATAAAGGGTGTTGTCATTTCCCAGTAACTTCCACATACATAAAATGACTGTTATGTTGCCACATTTAGATATTAAAACCATCATGCTAAAGGTCTTGAACATCAAGCAGGATCTCTGGTGGCTCCACTGGCGAAGACCCCAATAAACGTGTCCAGTATTGGAAAGTTTTCCTCGGATAGAGGACACGATAGTGGCACAAAGAGGCTGGAATATCTACTCCTCTGAGGGACCAACATAGAGCAAGCACAGCCAAAAATGGGAGAGGCACTGGCAGGAGCATGAGGTCCAGTCAATGCAATAATTCAGCACATGCCACTACCAGCCTCCCCTGGTGGGGCTCTAACAGCACATTAATGCAACACAGCTCCACAGGGCAGGTGTAAATTAGGGTCAGAATATTAGACCCAGTTTAAATACAATCAAATAGAATTGTACCACCTTCATTTTCTGTTACTGAGTGCAACAAACTCTCAGGCAGTGGATAGCTTCCCTATTATAGAACCTCAAATGGGCTCATATACTCATCAGTTATAGGCG